CTCCCTCCCCTGCCCAGGCAGCTCCTGCCCGCCCGCCCGCGGGAGGGGGGAGGAAAAGGAGGAAACCACTGCTGCCCCGTGTGAGGATCGAACTCACGACCTTCAGATTATGAGACTGACGCGCTACCTACTGCGCTAACGAGGCTCCTCGGAGAGTGCTCCCCCGCGCTGCGGCCTTCTGCCGGCCCCCCCCCCTGCTTCCCCCCTCGCTCCATCGGGACCTCCCCGGTGCTATTCCTGGGGGTGCTGCCTGAGAAACCTTGCTTCTCTGCAAATGACTCCTTTTCTGCAGGAGAGGTCTGTTTGTTTTTTTTTTTTTCCAAATTCATTCATTCCCCATGCTTTTCTGCAAGACAGACCTGACATTTTTTTTGCAAATGGCTCCTCTTTCCCATGCCGTGCTGCAAAACTGCTGCATTTCTGAAAGAGTCCTTCAGGGCTTCTCAAAGTCCTCATCCAGCCCCGCCGGGCGGGAATGGACTGCGAGGGCTGCATTGGCAACGCGCTCGCACGGAAATCAAGTTGTTTCCACATCGTTTACAAAAATTAAAGCCAACCTCCTTTGCCTCTCTGCTGGGAAGAGTCGCTGTTCGACTGGGATTTCTGCAGTGAAATGAACTCTGTGCATTCACTGAAGTGCTCAGCAGAAACGGGTGCCCTGCGGTGCCGGCAGAAGTGCTGCCCTGAATCCTAATCATCAGGCCTCACCCTCAGTGAGGGTCTCAAGGCAGCGGTCACCATGACAATCAAGCTACAGATACCTAAATTGGAAGAAGAAGGGAAAACAGACATTTAATTGATGCAGAAAGTCTCCGAACCTCGCCCACAAGAATCACTGTAGGGAGGCTGTTCGCCTGCAGAGCGAGCAACTGGCAGAAGATGAAGGAGGAACAGACCTCAGTCCCACCAGACAAGCAGAGATGTTTGGGTTGTGTTGGACAGCCCGAGGGTGTTGCCGAGGGTCTAGCGGGCAGCTCTTCTTGTCACTGGGACAATACCCTGATTTCCAAGGATCCGGCTGGCCGTGCATTCGGGACGATCAGATGATGAGTCCATGCTGCGAGGCCTGTGGTATGAACACAGCCTATGCTACAACCACGGGATGAGTAAACGCAAGGCTTCTTGCAGCCTG